AACAGATGAAATCCTGGTGTGGGGGAAAGGTGGAATGCTGCAAATCTGGGGGAGTAAAGATCTGTGAGGGCTGTGGTTGAGAAATAATTCTGCAATGTGTGGCTTGTGGCAATTAAAGGAGTTGCCACCATCATGGGATCATTAAAGTTGGAAAAATCTTCTAAGATCAAGTCCACCACTAAGCCAAGAACACATCTCCACATCTTTTAAATGCCTCCAGGTATCCTTTGAAGAACTTTAAAGGATAAAGGGAGTTATTGTTGATGATATTCTGGGAAAATCTGATTTTTCCTGTGACTGTTGCAGTTGGAGCTGTCCCTCTGCTTCCTGGAAAAACTGAGCAAACCACACCAGGTTTCAGCAGGTGCTGAAATCATTCCTTGCCACTATTTGACCACCAGACCAGCAGGTTTGGGGTGGAAATGAGTTCTTTTTCTGGGGTAGAGGTTTTCCCTGCCCATGGAGAGGCTGCAGCTCCTGGCACACCTTGCCCAGCCAGGAGCTGGCATTAACCTAGACCTGCATTTGAAGCTGAGCTGTGAATAATTCATGGCCACTGAAATGCCACCCGGTTTGGTGGCACAGGGCTGGCACATCCAAGGGACTTCAGGTTTTCCACTGGCTCAGTGTGTAAAATGAGCCCTTCCCCTGCTCCTTGTCTGGGTGGCCCAGAATTGACAACAATTGACCCAAACTGCAAACACCAATCCCCCCACACTGATGAATACTGACCCTGACAGAGGCTTGGATTGCTTCTGCTGCTCCTGTCAGCCAGAAATGCTGGGAAATAAAGCAGAAACAACCTGAGGCTGGGTTGAGGTGATTTAGAGCAGCAGGGCATCCCTCCCTGCTGACTTTTCCCTCACACTTCTGCTGCAGCCTGACAAACTTCAGGTTTTTAAGGCACTACCTGGGATTTAAAATCTCGATTTCAAGCCACCCTCATCCTCCTGCTTCCTCTCTCCTGCTGCAGCTGAATCAAGGAATAACGTGTTGGTTTTCCTCTCCTCCCACCTCCTTGCACTTGGGTGCTTGTGCCTCCTTAAATGTGTTTTTTAGTCCGGTGCTTAATTAGAAAAGGCCTTTGATGGTGAAAAGTGTGGGGGTTTAATTTATTTTTTTTGGTAATAATTACTCCTCTGCTTCTGGGCAGAGTGGAAATGAGATTTTCCATGGACACATGGCAGGGATTATTTAAATCCATCCCCACCACTCGGGCTGCGGGCCGGGAACCAACCGGTAGAAATTGTTATTAAACGAGGGAATCAGCTGGGAAAATAATTCATCCCCCCAGCTTGGAAGTGGTCCAGACACTCTGGGATGATTTGTTTTGTCTCAAACAGCCACTGACTCCTTTTTTTTTGGGTGGTGAGGGGCAATTTGGGGCCTGGATGTTGCTCCATGGGGGGAAGGCATCAGAGCCCATTTAATCCCCCACCAGCCCAGCCTGGCTGTCACCCCGGGCTGTATTTCCCAATTAAGACCATCAAGCTCCATGATGAAGCTTTGATAGGCACTCTTTACATTTATTTTATTTCCCCAGCCCTTTCAGGCGGTGAATGAAGGTGTTTAGTGAGCTCATCCATCACTTTAACTCGGTGAATTCCCACCTCCCACTGCTGCTGCTGCTGCTCTCTTTGAATGGAAATTTAAAATAACGCTGCAAATGGGGATGGCAGCAGCGGTGAGGGGGGGCTGTGTCATCACAGGGGGTTCTGTCTGTCCCCTGAGAGTCCCCATGGGTGACACAAACCGGGCTCACCCCCTTCCCCTCCAACCCTTCATCCTCACACACCCCTTGGCTCCTGGGAGATGGGATGGAGGGAAAAAAACCCCCCTCTGGAGCATCTGAAGCACAGAAGGTTCTTTTGCATCTCAAAGGGGGATTTTGGCACCTCCAGGAAAAGGTCCAAAGCTTCTGGACACATTCAAGTTTTTCCAGGCCTTGCCAGCCTGTGTTTTGACACATCCCAGTGTCAAAGGAGCCCCAAGGCTGATCCCTTTTGTCCAGCCCAGGGTGGCAATATGTTCTTGCAGGTGTTTTACTCTCCCCTTATCCAGGATTAGCGCCAGGCTGGGGAGCTTGGGGGGTTTTTTTGGGATGAATCCACCCTTGTGTGCTGCAGGTCACTCCTCTCATGCCCTGGGGAATGAGGATTATCCCTTGGCAGCTCCTGGCCTGGCAGAAATGCCCATCTGGAGCCAGTCCTCTCCTGCATTCTCTGCTTTCATCAGCTGCTGGGTCGTGCTGGCCCCTCCAGTGGGGCTCCTTATCCCAAAGATGATGAGCTGGAGACTTGGGCGGGGGGGGAGTGTGTGTTGACACAATAATATGGACATAATATGGACAAATCACTGGGGAAGATTTGTTGTTGGGCTGATCTTTGCAGCAGCATTCCTTGATCAGCCAGCTCAGAGCCCAGAGACACAAACCCTCATCACTGGTGGGTGCAGAGAGCAGAGAAAAAGCCAAAATATTTGCATTTGGAGGGCCTGTGTTGGAGCAGAGAAGTCAAACAGGCAGCCAGGGAAAATCCAGGGAGGGTTTTTTTGTGGTTTTCCTGCTTGTCCAGCAGAATTTGCTGTGCCTGGGGACAGGGGAACTGGGCAGTGTTTGGCTGTTCAGGGCACAGGATCACATCCCTGCTCTGCTCTACCAGCCAGCCCCACTCTGCCCCCTGCTCTGTTTGCATCTTTGGGGGCAGCTGGAGGCTGAAATGCCCCCATCAGCAGGGAAATAACCTGCCAAAAGCAATGGAAGAGGGAGTTTGCTTTGGGCAGCTCAAGCTGTTCCTGGATTTTGCCTTTTGTTTGGCTTTGCAAGAATGGCTGCAGCCGCTTTCTGCTGCCCCTGGGTTAAAGGAAGGGGATTTAAAATGAAATAACTGCAGCAAAAACTGTGTCCAGCAGGAAAAGCAACCCACAGGGTGCCAGAAATTCAGTTTCAACCTCTGCTGCAGTGACAGAGGAGAGGGGTGCTACAAAATCCTCTCATTGGAACAGAAGATGAAAAAGCCACCCAAAAAATCCCTTTTTCTTTTGAAGCCAGGGTCAGGTTGTATCCTGGAGGGCAGTGAGGGGACAATGGTGGCTCTGTTCTGCTGGGCTGAGGGGGACCCAGTGTTAATGTGAAGCAGATGCACCCCAGGGTTGGAATTCCCAACACCAGGACTCGTTATCCTGAGGCTGCCAAACCCCAGGGATCCCATCCCCAGCCCTGGGAGCACCGTGGGCCCTGCAGGGAGGCAGGGTGGCCACAGGAACAGAGTTTGCTTGGCCAGCTGAACACCTGGGTGTTGAAAACCAGGCGAAACAAAGCTTTTTGGCCTGATAGATGTACAAATTCTGATTAAAACAAAGCTTTTTTGGCTCGATAGATGCACCAATTCTGATTAAGAACTGGCCAAATGTCAGGTGAGAGGCTCTTGGCTGCCTCACTGTGTCCATCTCCTCTTCCTTTGGCTGCTGCAGCTCCTCCAGCACAAACCCCTGGGTGTCCTTTGGGATGTTCTGGATGTCCTGACCCCCTGGATGTTGTTGGAGGCCACCAGCCCCACATGGGACATCACAGACCCATCCCATGGGTCCCTGTCCCCCCCAGACCAGCCGTGCCCAGGGTCAGGAGCTGTAGTTTTCCCTGGATCCAACCCTGAGCGTGGCAGGAGCCGTGTTGGGCTTCACTTTGGACACCAGAGCTGTTGGGATTTTGGTGGGAAGGGCAGGATTTGGCTGGGAATAGGGTCCTGCCAAGGATTTGGGGGGGGAAAGGGAAAAATAGGGGGTGATGGCAGCTCCTGACTCTGGAAAAAAATCCCTTCCCAAGGAGGGAGAGGGACAAGCAGGACCCTGGGAGCCGGGCTGGCGGCTGCCTCTCGTGCTCTGGCTCTCATCAGAGCACGAGGGGACCTCAGCCTGCCTAAACTCTTCCAAATGTGATCTGTGCTCCAATAAAATAAACATTTTAGGGAAAGCCAAGCCCCAGGCACACATTTTGGCAGCTGATCGTTCCCTAATTGCAGGAAGAGCAGTTGAGAGAAGTTTTTTTTTTTTTTTCTGTTTTGTTTCTTTTTTTTTTTTGTTCTGATGAGAAAACTGGGCTGGAGGATCAGAGTTGAAATTTCTCTCCCCACATCTCCCCACCCCCAAAATCCTGGGGTTTTCCCCTTTGTATTAATGGAATTCAACTTATTTCAAAGAACAGGAAACACAAAGAGCCTCTGCTAAGTGTGAACCTCAAACCCTCATCAAGGGCCTGGGCACAAGGAGTTCTCCACAAATTTTTTTCTCTTTTTTCTGTTGTTTGACAACACCAGGGGCAATTTTGAGGGCTGGGAGAGAGGATTTCAAGCCTGGCAGTTCCTGGGTGTTGCCCCCATCCCAAAACTCCTCGGGCTCTGGAGTGGGATGGAGATAATTAACACCAGCCCCAATTTCCATCCACGTGGCAAAACTCAATTTGTGGTGAGGGGACAGAGCAGGAGCAGCCACACTCTCCCCTCACTTTTGGGGTCACACCCAGCCTGTTAATGGGGTCATTCCTTCCAAAAATCAAACAAAGCACATACAAAACCAAAGGGAAAGGCTTTTTTTCCCTAAAATTATGGATTTTAGGGAAACCTCCATCCTGCTTTTCCAGAAAAGTGCTGGAGTCCTGGCCAGCACTGCTGTTCTCCATCACATCCCTCTCCCTTTTCTTTTTCCTCCTCTTCTTTCACTTTTTTTACACATGTTGGCAGCCAGCTGGGTGTTTTTATGAGCAAATTATTAGAGATTTCTTTTCCTGTGGCCTCTTCCCTTCAGACACTGAGGGCTGCAAATGAATTTGAAGGTTCTTTTCCTAACCAGCCCTGCTTCTTCTTTCCCTAGTGGGGAGTTGCTAAATCCAACATGATTTGGGTACTTTTATATCTACCCAATAATAAAAGTCCATTTCCAAGAGTATTTCCAGCCTTTTTTCCCTCCTGTGCTAGAATCTGAAGCAAATGCTGTTTGTTTTATGGCAAACTCTCATTTATTGTAACACAAATCCTTATTTCGGACCAATTCTCTTCCAGGGAGTCATTTCAGAAGAAAGGAGCCCAACATGTTTTCCTTTGAATTGCTGATTGTTTTTCTCTGGGCATTTGTGCAAATTGCCTCTCCTGCAAAATCCAGGTTCTATCAGCTGCAGCTCCTTATTCCACTGGAGTAGATTTTGTTGGGGAAATTCCAGCAATTTCTGTATAAAATCAGAGGTTTGGGAGCCAATTATATTGTTGGGAGGGTGATAGAAATACATTTTATTTTGAGGAGGATGGGATAGGAAAATGGAGCTCTCCAACAGCAGAAGATTTTTTTTTTCCCCCACTAAATTAAACAGAGTTATAATTATAGCAAAGCATTTTGATTGCTCCCAAGTGTTTATTTTTAGCATTTTGTTTAGCAGGAAATAAAAGCAAATTTGGGGTGGGGTGTGGAAATGATGGTTCTGACACAGAGCAAGGACCTTTCCCTTCCCTCCCCATCCCAACCCAGGCTCCTGGAGCAGGAGCTGCATGCAAATGACATGCAAATGCAATGCAAATGAGCTGCTAATTGTCCCTGCTGTAGCCATGATAGGTGGGGAGAACAGAAATGCAATTCCTGACCTGCTCCTGGCTTTTCCTTGGGTCCCTTTGCTGAATGGCACCATGGGGACACCGAGGGGCTGGGGGACAGGGGACAAGGGTGGCACAGGGGGTGAGGGGGGGTGGCATTTCCATGGGATCAGCCTGGGAAAGCCCTCCCAGGTCAGGGAGTGCAGCATGAGCCCAGCACTGGGGTGGCACTGAGAGGTGACACCACTCTGTGACACAGCTCTTGGATGTCCCTGCTCTGTGGGATGCTCTGGGTGGTGACACCGTGGGGTGACACTGCTCTTGGGTGACATTGTGAGGTGTCCCTGCTCTGTGGGGGTGACATTGTGGGGTGACACTGGTCTGTGGGGTGACCCTACTCTGTGGGGGTGACACTGTGGGGTGACACTGGTCTGTGGGGTGACCCTACTCTGTGGGGGTGACACTGTGGGATGTCACTGCTCTGGGGGGGTGACACCATTCTGTGGGGTGACACTGCTCTTGGGTGACATTGTGAGGTGAAACTGCTCTGTGGGGTGACACAGTTCTGTAGGGTGGCACTGTGAGGTGACACTGTGGGGTGTCCCTGCTCTGTGGGGTGACACTGTGGAGTGTCCCCACTCTCTGGGGTGTCCCTGCTCTGTGGGGTGACACTCTGAGGTGACACTGCTCTGTGGGGTGACACTGTGGGCTGTCCCTGCTCTGTGAGGTGACACTGTTCTCTGAGGTGTCCCTGCTCTGTGGGGTGACACTGTTCTGTAGGATGACACTGTGGAGTGTCCCTGCTCTGTGGGGTGACACTGTGAGGTGACACTGCTCTGTGAGGTGACACTGTGGGGTGTCCCTGCTCTCTGGGGTGACACTGTGGGCTGTCCCTGCTCTCTGGGGTGTCCCTGCTCTCCTGTCCCTTTGTCCCACAGGTGAAGGCCTTGGTGCTGCTGGCAGTGGCCAACCCTCACTGGTGGATAAAATCCCTTTTCCGTGCTGTTTGTATCTGCAGTTTTAGGCTCTGATCCTAAATCTGCCCCCATGGAGGGGCTGGGACGGGGTCCCTGGGAGGTCTCCTCCATCCCAAAGCATTCCATGGATCCATGGATCCAGTCCAGAGCTGCCAACCACAGCTCCTGACTCTTCTCCTCCTGCTGGCCAGGATTTATGGATGGAGACCTCCCAGGAGCCCTGCCAGCCCTGCTGCTGCCCAAAATTCCCAAATTCCCTTTTCCCATCAAACAGCCCTGGCATGGAGGTGGGGCAGGCCTGGAGCCAAGGAGAACACAGGGATTTGGGGATTTGGGGATTTGGGAAGCTGTGAAAACACAGAGCAGCCCAGGAGGGCACTGTGGGGATCCTGCAGCCAGAGGGAATTTCAGGGACAATTTTAGCTTCAAAATTCCTTTGCTGAATCAAAGGAACAAAGGAACAACCCAAATATTTGGGGATTTCTTTTTTTTTTTTTGGAATTGCTCTTTAGGGCTGTGATTCCCACAGAGCATTCCCAGCAGGCACAATCACTTTATAAACATATTAAAGTTGATTTTGATGTCACATTTCAGGGCCAGAATGAAGAGCTCCAGGCTGAGCAACCTGCCCTTCCTACCCTCCAAAATCCAACACTTTGCAGGAGGAGCAGGCTGGAATTTGGGAATTTGGGTAGCATGGGAATGATGTTACAACAGGGATGTCTGGAGTTTATGACATGAAAAGTGCAAACCTTGGCAAAACTGGGAAGGCTCTTGGAACAAGAAGAGAACACAATAATTAATCCCCACTGGTGCTTTCTTAGCAGCAAAGACTTAGGAATTTTTAATGAATTTCTTGGTAAGCTCAAAAGGAGCTTTAAAATTCCGTATTTTGAAATTTATGTATTTTAAAAATCCTTTTTATCCTGAGGATCTCTGAGGAGGGAAGTCTTTCCAAGCTGTGGGGAACAGAGGCTTTAAACTGTGCTGTTTATAAACCTTTTTTTATAAACCTTTGTGACCACAGAGCTGGAGCAGCTCAGGAGCAATTCCAGCAGTGCCCACACTGGGTGTGTGTGTGTAAAATTCAGTAAAAATAAAATAAAATAAAATAAAATGAGGATGAGCCCAAAGGAGGAATTTCCTGGCTCTAAATTTTGGAGAATTTGGCAACTCAAATTCTGGTCACTCCATGTGGATGAATTGCAGAATTTTGATTGCTCCTCAAATTCAGTTAGTCCAGAGCAAATTTTTTATTTATTTATTTTTGAATCCTACCATGACTTTGGGTGTTCTCAGCCACAGCAGTGCCCTGTCCACTTGGGACTCCCTCCAAGTCCTTGATCTCAGGGATATCCCATGGCTGGAGGTTAATTTGAGCTCCTTTTATCCCCTGAGAATTCAGTCTTTCAGCATCAGGAAGTGTCCTCAGATCCTGCATTAAGAGGAGTGCAAAAAGAGCATTTCATTCTCATTTCTGTTTTATTCATCCTCATTATATGGATATATTTTATATATATATAAAAATATAAAATAATACAGGATATTCAATATACAATATGTTATTATCTAAGTCACATTCCCTCTTTCAGCTAAATAATTGTATTTATTTGTCTTGATTCCCCCTCTGAGGGTGGGGATTCTCAACCCTTTACTCAAAATTATCACTGAATTTTTAGCATTTGTTTGTGTTCTTTCCTTTCCCAAATATCTACTCCATTGTTTGACTGCCATCATTTAGAGAGGGATTTTGAAAAAGCACTTTAATACTCATCTTTGCTACTCCATTATTTCAGAACAAATCTTTTATCTCAGGATTTTACCTTTTTTTTTGTTGTGTTGGTTTTTTTGGGGTGACTCATTACATCCAATAACGTTTCACTGACATTTTCATAAATAGTTTTCTCACCAGGTGTCTCTACAAATTTCTTGCTGTAATTCCTCACTCTCTGGGGCTGCCTCTTCATTTTCCCTGCGCTGGTTTTTTACAAGGAATTGGGCTGAACATCCCAATTTTCCTTCAGAACACGACACAAGTCACCATTTGTGCAGTGCTCGAGAGCGCTGCCATGAATTTAAACCAGGAGGAAACCCCTTTCTTTTAATTCCCTTTGATCTCAACATCAATATTCCTGTTTATGACAACATTTTCTGATCTGATTCCATGGCACAGAGCTTTTAGCTCAGCGTGAGCGTGGATAAATCAGCATCCTGCCAGTGTGTGAGCTTGGTGTAGGGCTCTATTCCCAATCCTGGTGTTACATTGGGCAAAAACCCAGCTTGGGGGGGAAAAAAAATCAGTGTTTTCCCTATGGAACAGCCTTGTTAAATGTGAGGATGAAACCAAGTGGGTGTAACTGATCCCCCACTAAAGCTCAAAGGGATTTGTTTAATGGTTAAGATTTTCCTCCTGAGATTTGGGGCCAACTTTTGTAGCAGGGCTGGGAGCTTTTCCAGCTGTTTGTTAACATAAATTAACCCTCCTTATTTCCATTTTCTGGCAGATAGGCATGGGACTGGTTGGATGGAATCCTCTTTGGGGTTGGTTTGCTGGTTCCCCAGGGACAGGAGGGCAAAGCCACCCCCAGGACCAGCCCAGGGGATTCAGGAGATCTTTGTGCTCACCAGCAGGGTGAAAAGGCAGCTTGTCCAAGAGAATCAATCTGTTCCAGTGGGTGTCAGCTAAATCCCTCTCAGGGGGACAAGGATAGAACCCCAGGGATAAATCCCCTTTTCCTGCCTGGCAGAAATCCTGTGCATGCTCCGAGGGGAAAAACAAATGTGCAGCAATACTGAAAGCAGCAGAAAACAAGGAAAAAAATAATATAGCTGTCCTGAAGCTGTCCCTATTCCCCCTTTGTTATCTCCTTAACTTTGCTTGTTTAAAGCCACATCAGACATCCCACAAGAAATTACAGGAAAAAATGGATAAAACCAGGATCAACCCCTGGCTGTCATGCTGTGAAATGGTAATCACAGATTCACAGGGGTACTCTGTGCTTTATTTGGGAGTGAGATGCTGCTTTGGTGCTCAAAGACTGCAAGACAAGCGGAATTTGGGGGTTTTTTTTGCTAGGTAAAACTTTTTACTGAGGCATCACCTTGATCCCACATGGGCTGCTCCCAAAAAATGATGTGGCTGCAGATATCCAAGAGAAGCAGCTGCCAACACCAAATTACAGCTCTGGATTTGGAGTAGCTCTGGATTTAACTGGCACACAACTTATGGGCACAGATTTTTGGGGTAAAGCTCCCATTTTCCCCCTTCTTTGGAATCTCTGGGCAGTCATCCCTCACAGGCAGCTTGGAAACAACATTCCCAGAGAAGCCAGAGCAGCATGACAGAATTCTCATCACATTCCTGAGGCCACCAAGCTGGCACAGGAGTCACAGGGCTCCTTCCTCTTCCTCAGGTGTCCAGGGTGTTCTAAAAACTTTTATTCCATTTTCAGTCTCATGAGAAGGGTGAGACAATACAGGTGTTGCAATTCACGCCATCACAATCAGAAGCCAACTATTTTAAAATTACATTATAAGCTTAATTACATTATAATTATAATTACATATAAATATTATAAAATTATTATTACATTATAAGTTTCTTGGCCTATCAGCTTGTTGCTACACCATGCTGTAGATTAAAGCCAATTATCTAAAACTACCCCTCATGGGTCCCACTACAATGCATTTTTCATAGTTCTATTTCTCCAAAGTACCCAGTCTTATTTGCAAGGCCATCCTTTGAAACTTATTTCTAGTTCCCTTTCTCTCTCAACAATATCTGCCTATTTTATGGCATTTCCAAGTCAGCATTTCTTATCTCAAGGTTTGCACAGATGCACACACTGTGTGAGCATTCTCTCAGGCCCTGGGAACTCTCCACCAATCCATTTCCCACAGTCCCCCACCAATCCCAGCTGAAATCCTCCATGAAACCTCTCCACAACTCCTTGTTGGACAATTCCCTTTTCCTGGCCGGGAGATGGGGCAGCTGAGAGTCGTTTTGAAAACTTTTATTCCATTTTTAGTGTCGTGACAAGGTGAGACAACACAGATGTTACCGTTCACGCCATCACAATCAGAAGCTATTTCCTAATTATAATACAGTTATAAATTATATACATTATATAAATTTCTACAAATCCATTTCCCACAATGCCTGTTCTTGCCCCCTCAGCAGTGCTGTCCCAAATCAGAGCCACCCCGCATTAACCCCATCCTCACCTCCCCCTGAAATAAAGATTTTTAGCGTTTACTTAAGCATTTATATTTTAGCTTGTAGAGTTACGAGTTAAATTTTACCTTCTTAAGTAAGAAATCTCTACTATGAGTCAAAAGCTAAAAGAAGAGTAAATTTCTAAAACTTCTTACATAAATAAACAGTACTTAGGGATGCAAGAAATCTAAATAAGAACACTCATATATCTCCCCAGTTATCAAAAATACACAAATAAGCACCAAAAAACCAAAAACACATACACAGAAGAGTTCAAAATTCAACTGTAAAGAAGACTATGATCTTCAGCCCAAAACCACCAAGAGACCACCAGAGCAAAACCAACAAAAAGCGTGGACCTAATTAGCATGAAAAGCGAGGGCAAGTAGAACCAAGAGTTAAATATGCATTAAAAAATAGTGCAATGTGCTGTATATAAAACACCTTTAAGAATAAAAGTTTAAGTCAGATCAGCGCTCAAAGCACAGGTCTTAGAGAGACATCTCACTTGTACCAAGCACTAACAATCCATACCCACTTCACAACTGCCCTGAGTTGTAAAGTCTATTTATTTATTCTGTGTATTCCTTCCCCCCCACAGCTTGAAGGCCGTGCTGATGGGGAAGCCCCAGGACAACACGGTGGACTTGTCAGGCATCCCTCTGACCCCGAAGGACGTGGAGAGGGTGACGTCCTACCTGGAGCACAGCTCGGAGCACATCGACACGGTGGAGCTGTGCTTCACGGAGCTGACGGACGAGCTGCTGCTGCAGCTGCTGCCCGCGCTCTGCTGCCTGCCCCGCCTCACCACGCTGGCCCTCAACGGCAACCGCCTCACCAAGGCCATCCTCAGGGACCTCACCGAGACCCTCAAGGACCCCAAGAAGTTCCCCAGCGTCACCTGGATCGATCTGGGCAATAACGTGGATATTTTCTCGCTGCCCCAACCCTTCTTGGTCAGCCTGAAGAGGCGATGCCCCAAGCAGGGTAACCTGCCGACCATCCTGGAGTTTGGGGAGGGGCAGGTCAGTGATGTGGAGGGGCAGGAGGGGCTGGGGGACAGCCAGGAGGAGCTGAGGGCTGTGCCAGGCCAGGCTGGCAGCACGGACTGCGAGCACATGGACACAACAGCTGAGGCTGGCGAGCTCCCCGGCCCGGAGCAAGGTGCTGCCACACCACAGACATGATGTCCAGCCCTTGGGTGGGCACCTTGAGCAAGGATGACTTCAAACCTCAGAGCTGGGAGCGTCTGTTCCCACTCCTGGGTGCTCCAAGAGTCCCAGCTGCTGCCTTCCCCCTGTGCCACGAATGTCAGTGATTTTCTTCTTGAAGAACACATAAAAGTGATCACGTAGAGTGTCTGTATTTTCTAACAGCTGGCCAGGTGTTTTGAAGCATTAGTGGTGTGCTGTGCTTTTGGCTCTCTCAGAAATGTGTCTCCAAGGGGCTGCAAAACCTCAGAAGGGCAAGAAAAGGGAGCAGGGAGGTGTCCAGGCTGTGCAGGGAGGGGCTCCCTTTCCTCAGTGCTGGATCTCAGCTGCTCCCCACGTGTCTTGGACAGACAGCAGCCACCCCAAAGGGACCTGCCTGGGATAAACCTTCAATCCCTCCCACTCCTGACTTCAGGAATCCCTGGTGAGAGGCGTGGCTGCTGAGAAACAACATAAACCTGCTCACACACACACCAGGGTGAAAAACCTGCTCCCGCACAAACCAGGGGTGTTCCTCTCAGTATGGTGAGCCCAGCCCAGAGGGAGAGCTTTGTTTTCCTGGGGCAGGGTTAAATCCCAGCCTGCAGCGTGCCTGGACACCTCCCTCACCTCCAGCCTTACCAAAAGCAGGCTGGCAGCTGTGCCTGCCCAGGATTTATCCAGTAAAACCCAGTTTCCCACCAGATGTAAAAACTCCGGAGCTTTTAATGGGAATATCTGTTCCATTCTGGGAGGGACACACAAATCCTGGAGTCAGGGCTCAGGAGCATCACTGACAAAAAGAGACCATGGTACTGAAGGGTTAAAAAAGGTAAAACAAGCCTGGGGTTCATCCCCTCTGTCACTGCCACACAGCCAGCTGGGATTTAAAGCCCCAGAAAACCTTGGGCTCGCTTGGCCATGGCTGTTGCCCCCTGGACCAGAAGTGCTTTGTTCCTAAAATGTTCCAGTTTTTTCTAAGGCAGAGATTTGGGTTTATTTTCGGTGGGACATGGATCACCCCAGAGCAGCAGTGCTGGAATGTGTACTTGGGCTTTTTGGAACCAGAACTTCACTGAATCCCAAACCTGGGGGAGGGCAGGAAAGGGGGGAAAACTTCCTCTCCTTGGTGTTGCAAGGAGCAGAGCTGATTCCTCTGCAGAGGGAGCCTCCTTGCCCCCAGCCCTTCCCCTGAGCAGCTCCCAGCAGTGACTCCAGCTTGGCTTTTTTTGGGTGCAAACAGACTTTTGGTCCCATTGCTCTGTCCATTTTTCCAGAGGGGCTTCAGGCTGCCAGTGGTTGTTTGCCCTCCATTTGCAAGAAGGTAACTTAGAAAAAACTCTGCTACTTTTAATACATTTGGCAACAGTCAGTATGATTTGCATGTATCCAAGCCTTTTTTCCTTTTTTTTTTTTTTTTTTAAATTCTAACTCTTTCCAACAGGCATGAAAAAATAAACCAAAAAACCTTTCCAGTGAATATGGAATATTTCTGTTTGAAATAAAGGAGCTGTCCATAAACAAAATAAATGATAATGTTTAATAAAGACTCAGTGTTGAATTTTTCCTCTGTCCAGGTTGAATGCCCAGGAAAAAAGCAGAGGACAAAGTGCTGAGAGCTGATGGTCAAACAAAGAGCTCAGTTTATGGGCTGCATTTATCAGGGTGGGCATAAGGTGGACACAGAAGTATCATAAAAGAATCTTTTAAATTTTAAATATTGCCAGTGTGTAAAATAATGTGGGAGAAAGAAATGCTGAGAGTGGGGTAGTGCTCCACAGGGTGTTTATCTCCTGAAAGAATAAAGGCTGTTTATTTGCAGCAGGGGTTCTGCCCCAGCAGCAAACTGTGGGGGCCAAGGAGTTGGGGGAACATAGGGGGATTTAATCAAGAACAAGATTTCTCTTTGAGAAAAAAAGAGAAAAAGAAACTGCAGCAATTTCTTCTTTCTACCCAGGTGCCTCAGTACTGGGCTCTCCTCGTGCACAGCTCAAGCCTCTCTGCCTGTTTAAATTATTTCAATCACAAGCTCGGTGCTGCAAGGTTTTTATTCCCTGCTGAGTATTTGCACAGGACCCAGGGCCTGAGGAGCTGCCTGGACCCCCCAGTTCACAAATTCACAAACCAGAGGCACTTTGCATTTAGAGCAAGGTCTGCATCCTTTATTCCTGTTTTGCTCCATTCCCTCACGGACAAAAACCACCCAGGAGCTGCTCCTGCCACATTTCCCCTCCAGCTCAGCTTCCACCTGCTGGGAAACACATCAGCCATGGAGAAATAATTTCAATATCTCCAAAGGGAGATCCCACAGCCTTTGCCCTGTGCAGGTGTTGCACTGCTTGAGCCACCTCTGTTCCACTGGTACTGACAAAATCCCTGTGCCCAGTGAGGATTTAGCCCTTCTGAGACAGAGAAAGAGCTGGAAAGGGATTTTTATCAATATATCCGTGCCTGCTGGAGGATGCACCAAATTACTTCCATGGAAAAAGGGAACAAAAAAAAAGCAGAGCTGTTGTGGAGAGTTGGTTATAAAAGCTTTGGCTCATCAGTGCCTCCCTCACAGTGTGGATTAGTTCAATTATCCACTTAGTGCACTTCAGGATAATGATGATCCTGTGGGCTCAGCACAGGGTGGGGTTTGGTTGGGGTTTTTTTTTTTCGAAGAAGGCAGAGTGAGATGCTTCCTTTCCCAGCTCATCAACATCAAAACAAGCTCAGGGCTCACTCCACATATAATCAATGTTCCCTGGGCTGCTCTGGGCTGCTGCTTTGGGTCAGAAGCTTTTAACTGGCCTTACATGAAGGATTCAAGGACTGAAAATCACTGCTGTTAGAATATGAAAGCAGAATGAGGTCATTTCTTGTCAAGGAGAGGAGGAAAGGGCCACCATAAAATAAATAAAGCATAAAAAGCCTCAGCCTGGCTTGGTTGGTTCTCTCCCCACCAGCACCACAGCTCTGCCCGGGCATCAAGCAAACCAGCCTGGGGAGGAGATTTATGGCCTCAGCAACAAAAATGTAATTGGAAATCATTCTGTGCAGATTGAGGAGCCCACAGTGAGGGAAATGGAAACAGCAGGGAGGGAATGAGAGAGGGGTGAGAGCCATGAAAGGGCTGATTCCAGAGAGCTCCTGCCAGCTGGGTGATCTGGGAAGGGTTTGCAGCAAGGCTGGCTGGGTTTGAAGGTTGGTTATTCATTTAAAATTAGGGTTGCATTGCCAGAGGATGGTTGGGAGCAGGAAAGAGGGCTGGGAAAAGTCACCCCCAAGCACAAAATACTTAGGCCAAAAGCATCGCTGCTGCTCAGGGGCAGAAGTCAGCAAATGTCAACCCAAAATTGCCCAGACACCAACCTTTCCCAGAGGAAGAGCCAAAAAGTGACCTAAAGGATTAAGGGGACACCACGGGAGGCAGCAGTGGCTCAGGCTGTCCCTGGCAGTGCCACCACGCTGGGTTATCCCACTAAAACTGCCCCTGGAGAGGGGCAAAACCCTCCAGGGCTCCATTACCCCTGTTCCAGCAGCAGCAGGAGGTTGTGAGCTCCTGCTCAGGAGCACTCCTGCCCTGGAAACACAAACACTCCCCTGCTCCATTAGCTGGGAGCTGCCATTGCCAAGGAAACTAATTTACCTAATTAGCAGAATTCACATATCAAAATTAGGGAAAAGGGGTAAAAACAACTGACCCAAGGTCTGCAGTGAAATGTTCCTTGGTGAGCAACAGATGAAATCTCCTCCCAACCTCTCTGGTACAAGGATGGCATCCTGTGATCCTTTTCCCTCACTCCAAGGGCAGTGGGGTTTCTCTGTGCCTGGGGGATATTTCCACCAGCAGGCTGTACAGAGCAAGAGCAGAGGAGCTTTCCAGCTCTGTGAAATGCCTTTAACAGGAAATTCTGAAGGACAGAGCCATCCCTCACCGTGCTCTGACTGCCTCCAGCCAGGCTCCAGCCTCACTTCCTAGGGGGGCCCAGCTCCAGGCACATTAACATTAATTAATTACCATGAATAAATGGGAGGATATCCCCAGGCTGGACAGGGCTTGCAACAACCTGGATTAGTGTCCCTGCCCACAGCAGAATGTTGGAATGAAATGGGCTTTATCTCCCCTCTGACCCAAACCATTGTGGGATCTGTTTCTATAACACGTTAGCACAGGGTTTGTTCTCGAGGCGGAACACAAGAGCTTTCCTCACTGCAGGAATCCTGGATCCCAAGCTGGCACTGCAGGAAAGGTATTTAGGAATAAAGTGTCATTTTTGATGTGCCAATCCATCAGCCCATGGCTCAGTTACCCCTGAAGGATGGGGAATTGGAAGGGCTTTGTTTGCAGTCCCTTCTGGCAGTCCTGGGCGTGCATTTTTTATCCCACTTTTTTTTATCCCCCTATTTTTTATCCCTTTTTATCCCCCCTCTGTAAATACACAGAGACACAGCTGGTTTTACCTTCAGCTCAGCTGATAGTTTTACATAAAATTGAAGACCTGATTTGATAGTCAGAAAAGATGCAACCTGTTCACTACAGCCTTTAATTATGTGTGCAGTTTGCTGAGTTTTCTTGGCTGCTAACAGCTTATTGATCCTGTGGCTTCTGGACCTTCTTTCTTTTTTGCTGTTTTATTAACTCAACCTGAGGAAAAAATAAACCTGTGGACTGGTTTGCATCCAGCAGGTTGTGATGAGCAATCCCAGCCTTCAGTGAGTACACGTGGCAGCTCTCAGGGAGCTGTTATTGGAAAGACAAATAGATTGGAGGTTTACAAAAGAGGAGAGAAATATTAATATTTAATTCACTGAAGGTTTGGCCTGGGCATTTATCACTGGATTTTCAAGGTGTGTGCTGTAAAATCACTTAATTCCTGGTTCTCCCTTGTCAGCTCTGTCCTTCTCCAGGGAAAACCAGGGTTCCTCTGGCTCTGGGCAAGAATTTGGGGAGGTGCTTTGTGATCAGGATTTTCCAAACAGCACTCACAGCCATCCTAAACACAATCTACATAATTAAAACCTCAAAGCATCTTCCTACAGGCCCAAATTCCTGGCATAGACATCCAGAGACTCAGGGATGGATGGAAATCTATGGGATATTGGGCTAGAAGAGATGTGGAAACCCCAGCTGCATCACCAGGAATGAGCTTCCCTTGGGCAGCTGCTCCTTGTCTGGTAACTCACTGAGGCAAGAGCTGCAATTCCAGCTCTCCTAGAAATGAAAAACAAGGCAGCAAAGAATCAATCACACTATGGTACCTGCTCCCCCAGGGCTCTGCCTCCTGATCCCACAGCACCCCACTGCAGGGGAGTTCTGCGTGTGGAGAGACAGGCAGAACATCCCAGAGGTGGACAGGCTTCACACTCACAGAATAAAAGGCCTCTGCCGGGGCTGTGTGCATTCACACATCACTTACCAAGAGGAGGACTTCACCATTCCTTTTTTGTTGTTGTTTCAGTTTCACTGTACCCACCTGCTTGTTAAATTACCAATTCCAAGGCTCAGGATTTTCCCAAGATGTGCTTTCCTGCAGGCTCAGAGCTCCCCTCCACCACAGGCACAGAAACAGCAGAGCTGGGGGCTGAAATGCAAATATTATCTTTTCTTTCTGTACCAACCCCCAAAATGGGCTGAACTTCCAGGGCAGGGGCAGCCACCAGCCCACAGCTGTCACCTCACCTTGGTGTGACATCCATTCTCCAAACCATTTTGGTGTTGTTGGTGGCTCTTCAGCCCTGTTCTCCTCCCTGAAACCCTTCTTTTGCCTCAGCTCCAGCCTCTGACTTGTTGCCAGGTGACACCACGTTGTTGTTGTCATCTCCAAAGACCTTTCTGAGTATAAAAGCAGCACCTTTGAAATCCCTGCCCTTGATGCAGCTTCTGTTTTGCATTTCCAAACAGCCTGGCCCTGCCACCGAAGCTTTATTTCACCTCCTGCAAGCACAGAGCATCTTCCTCCAAAGCACAGCAGCAAACAGGCTGGTGGGGAGGTGCCTGCATAGATTAAATTAATTAAATTCAAAGTGCAACTACCTTGTTGCAGGGGCTTCCATCACTGTGCATTTCAAAGGTCCCACCTCACTCCCAGCTTTGAAACAATTCCCATCATCTTCCCAGCAGGTATCCCTGCATTTCTCTCAGCACAAAGAGTTTATTATTTACTGCCATGGGTGAAAGGAATAAAACACCTGATTTGACACAGTTCAGGAAAATTGCTTTATCCAATGACTGACCAAATCCTCTGCCTGCTCCCAGCAGGGCTTCCAGCTCCAGTTTCTCATCTGGAACGAGGTGATGTGGAACTCTGCAGACTGCTGCAGGATTATCAGATGGAGGCACAGATGTAAAGCATTTATATTGGATATTTCAGCTGCTGCTGCTGTTGTGAGCTGCATTAAACAGCTCACAGATCACCTCAGCCCCAGCACTGCACTTGCTGTCTGATAAGGGCTGATAACTAAATGACCATTGGTGCCACTATTATCTTGACTCAGGTATTTATTAATAAAGTTTCAGCTATCCAGGAAAATTCATTATTTCTTATTATGGCTGATAACTTCAGGCTTAGCTGGAAATATGTCTTTAATGTGCTGTTAAACCTCAAGCCTATTCCACTGTTCAGCACCCAACAAACCTAAAGCCAACACTAACAAATCTTTAGGTGCAGTTTGCATGTGCACAAAAAAAACCAAGAAAATCAAACCTAGACTAACTATCCTACAGGATCTGGGAAAGCACAAGCAAGAAAGCAATCAAAAATCTGGGAAATAAATCAAAATTACAAAGAAAACCCAGCAGAAAGCCATAGGCAGCTTCAGAAACATCAATCATTATTTGTTCAGAGTTCGTGTTGCAGCTGTGCTGTGCAATGATTTTACCACAAACCATTACAAACAAACAAAAAAAAAACCTGTTATGGAAAAAATCCAAGTATTGACTTGCAAAAAATAACAGGAGCCTAACAAACAAAAGTCTTAATTATTGGAGATTAAACTTTTAACATCCCTATTTGATTAAAACAGCAGGGATTTTATATCAGTCTCCACTAAATGATTTTCTCATTTGCATTTTGTTCAGGTTTCAGTTCCACACAGGTGCTGGGCTGGGGGTGTTTATTGACTCAAAATCCACCTGGAGCAGGCACAGCCTGGCAGCTTCCGAGCTGCATGGGAGGGAAAGGTAATGAAGGGCAAATAATCCTTTATTTTTATCAAATAAAAATAAGTTTTAATTCCTTTGGCTTCTCATCACAGAGCAGGAACACTTTGGGGCTGGGACCATGACTGCAAGTTTGCACAGCATCAAAAACTGAGCCTTTGCTGGTCCAACACTAAGAAACATTAATTAACAGCTAATTAAAGAGTGACATTTTCACTGTGTGGGGGATTCTCTACATAGTAATGAAAGTTGCAAATCTTATTAGAAACAGGGAAGGAATCAGCAGTAAAACCGAGTTTCCCCAAAGAAGCATCTTTAAGGCTGCAAAAATCTCTTTTTATTTCAAAGGCTCTGAGCTTGGTCACTGCCCCATCTTGTGGGCTCAAGTGTCAGGAGGTAAAGCAGGACAGATGTTATTCTGAATTAGAGCACAGGAGCAGAAAATCCTCAATGTTTTTTCAATAAAAGCCCTCCTTGCACGCCCTAAATCAAACCCCACCTGTTCAACCCCCAGCACATTCAGCAGTTTTAGGATCAGTTCATTACAGTTGGGCTGAAATTGATTTCAAGCGTAAAATTAAGGCACTAAATGACATGAAGTGACAAAGAAGGGGAATGTTTGTCCTAGCAGAGCATTAAATAATGCATTAACCTTGTCCTTTACAGGAACACATGCAATGTGCTCAAGCTCTGGCAGCACAAGGTCAATGGGGTGCCAGAACATCCTGAGCCTGAGAAAGGCCAAAGACCCCCTGGTTATTTTGAGTTTTTGCTCTGAGCAGCTCAAGAGCAGCTGCCTGTGGTATCTCAGAAATTGTAACAAAGCATTTGCCATCCTTTAGCTGGGAGAAAACAAACCTGTGACACTTTTCTTGCATGACACCAATGCTATTCCTTGCTGGAAAACAGCAGCTCCTTTGTGCCTCACTTCTCTGAAATGGAGGAGAGTTGGAAAATTAGCAGCTCTTCCTCCTGCTCTGAGGGGAAAAGGAGTGAAGTGTCAATATTTAGGATTTCTTGCACTCTGAAAAGCTCAGATACACAGGATATCCCTTCCTCCCTTCTAATTAAGCAGCTACAGCTCAAAGTGCCTCAGCTGAAACAGCAACCACCAAGCCAAGAGAGAGCTCCCCTTTACATTGCCATTAATGGCTGGCATGTATTAATTACAGTAATTTATGGCTTTGCATGAGTGATTATTCTCATGCTGATGTAGATATGATTGCTTTACAATACTAATCAAGAAATAAGCACGATAACCAGCATTTATGTGCAATGTGAAGCTTGTGATTTACAGCGAGGCAGCTCTGCCCCTGTGGATCCCTCTCCTCCTCCCTCACAATTCCAGCCCCTCTCCATCAGCTCCACAGCCACAGCAGAGATTTTGGGGATAATCTCCATGTTTTCTCTCAAATTGTGATTTGAGACATGGCACTGCCATCTCTCTTATTGCTAAAAGCTGGCACTCAGCCATTCTTTGCTTTGCTGCATATTTCTTTCTTTCTGCTTTAATCTTTTCATCTATTTTAGATTTATCCAGGGTTGTTGGCTGCTGTTGAGTGCCAAAGGGATTCCTGCCAACTGTTCTTTTTAAACCTTTAGAAAATACAAAATAATTGTGTTTTAAAACCAGATTTTTGTCTGCTGTTTATTCCCCAACACTAAGTTTTAAGTGCTCCAAATGTAATCAAAACAGAATGGTTTTATTTCTCTTCCCCTCAAGCACGATGAAATTATCTGTGCTCCCCTGGAAGATCAGAGTAAAATGTTGAAGACATTTGTTATGTTTGAAAGGCACCATTTTCTAACAGAAATAACACTTTTCCAATCATTAATCTCAGCAAAAACCCAGTCTGCTAGAGGATCCCTGCTGAGGAACTTTGGTTTTGATTAGATCAATAAACAAGTGATGCTAAAATGAAACTCATGAATATTTATCTCCAACAGATACCACCAACTGCACCCTCAATAAAGCCAGGTAAATTCAGTATTTGAGTTTTCCCAGATCAACTTTGCTCTGTTTTAATGAGAGAATTCTAACACTAGAAAGCAAGAATTATAAAACAAGTTGCAGCAAACCTTCCTTGAGCAAATTAAACAGCTCATTAAACAAGCTGCTGATTATTTCTCTTTGCTGAGGGCATGTGGCTGTTGTTACCTCCATGGTCTGCAGATTCACATTTTAAAAAAGGTGGACCCTTGTGCTTGTTAATTTTTAAACCTGTTTTTATTCCCAGTGCATATTATAAGAAATGTCAACATGTTCTAATACACAGGCTCTTAAAATCAGGCAAAAATAAGTTTCCTTTATTTAAACACTGGGCATAGAATGCAATTTTAAAGTTTAATTAAGCAGTGGAGTAACCTGTTCTTCATACTGCTCAATTCCTTCAGATAAAGAGCAACTAATTAATTCCAAACATGTTTTACCTACTCCATTGCCCAGGCTGAATGTTTTCATTAAGCCCTGGATATACTACAGTAACAATTCAAGGGAAGAAAAAAAATCCAGATTAATTCACCTGCATGTTGTAGAACCAGGAGACCTCTCTGAAAAACACTGAGGCTGTTTTTCTGAACACTTAACTTCAAGAGAAATTCCTAAAATTCTACATTTAATGCAACTTACACCTCAGGTAGCACAGCCACCTGGTGCTTTTGGAGGGACAGGGATGCCACGGGAGCACCACCAACTCACAGCACCTTTCAGTCAGAAAATCAAAATTAAAAAGCAATTCAAAGCTTCACCTGAACTCCACAGGGAAGGCAAAACCAATCCCAAGCTCTCCTACTTGGAGCTGTGCAGTGAACACAGGCTCTTGAGGAATTTGTTGAGAATTAAATTTTGCAAAAAGCACACCCTAAAATTTTCCAGTGCTGACACCACGTGGGCAGAAGGCTCAGCACCATCAGTATGGATGCTCAGGAGCACTTTAGTGTTATATCCTGCCAGTTCTACTGACATAATTAAACTAATTGGGAGTTTTGGCCTCAAATGCTGGGTTTTAACTTTCAAGCATCTCCAGTTCCCAAGATTCCCCCTAACCCTTGAACTTTGCTTCTGCAGCAGAATTTAAATTCAAGTTTGAGATCAAAATGACAAATAGCAAGCCTGCAAACAAGCTACAGATGCAGCTGCATTTGCTGCTCTGGCTGTCAAGAGTATTGAAGGGCTGGTCTCTGCAGTAATCACACTCTTGCTGTCTTGTTTGAACTCCAATTACCACACTAAACCCCACTGACAGTGAACACAGCAATCTTGGGTGCATCTTCTTCATCTTACAGCAAATTAATGCAGTCAAGTGACAAAACAGTGGGTTTTAAAAAATTGTTTTAATGTACATGTAATAACACTTTAACTGTTACCACTTTGTAACAGGCAGAAAATGTGTCTACACCAAATCCTCAAGCCCAGGTGTTTTGTTGGAGTCCTTCTGCCTCAGAGATGTTTCCAGCAGCACCACCTGGAACACAGGAGCAGGGTCAGGTAACCAGCCTTAATCATTATTAATGGGTTTGTTAACGAGTCAGATATCATCAGAAAACCTTTTGCTCACCACCAGTCAATCTGCCGGTAATTCCAGCAAATTTGGGTTAGTTTCATCACATGATATCACAGGGAAAGTAACACATTTGTGGCAGAAGATGACTTTTATCTCTCTCTACAGTGCAGGAACAGCTGCCCTCATACATTTACTATCTGCGTTTTAGTCCAAGAATTTTTTTTTTTTTGCCTAGAACTTCATTCATTATACATCTAGAGCAGAATTTCTGCTCTAAATGTGTAATTAAGTCTCTTTTTGAGACTGCAGCCAAAAGCCAACCACATTCAGCTCAAAGGACAATAAATATTAAACTCACCCAGCAGATTCTCCTACTCTGCTGTGTCAGAGCCCTCCACAGGACTTGGGAAGAGCTGTCCCATCAGTGGGTGGACATCAACCACCAGCACGTGGCAGCACAGACCTGCAGGCTCTACCTAAATGCATCAGAAAATACAGATCAGGCTTACAATTCTAAGGAACACAGACCAAGTACAAATCCACATCTCAAGCTCCTTATATCCTATAAATTAAATTCTAAATTTGCATTTCACCTGGCACAGAGTTCTTTGTAGTGCACTGAAAGCCATCACTCACCTTCACATCAGGGCCACCTCCCCAGCTGTTCCCAGTCCTGTGTCACATCCAGGCGGGAAGCCTGGCTCTGCAGAGGAAGTGGGACAGAGGGACAAAGTGAGATTTTTTTTTTCCTGGACAGCAAGCTGCCTGCTGGGTTTTAGAGGATGAATTTGGAGGTTTAGGCTCCTGTGTATAGCTGTATTTCAGACCAGAACCAGGGTATCGTCAGTTCTCGCATCTGACGGCACTTCCTATTCAGGGTTATCATCATTAACAGCTGTTAATTAACTCCTCTAATTAATCACTCAAAACACCAGCCTTCACCTCAAACAGTTGTACAATCTCCCCCCTGTGTATGACGTATTAACTTTTGAACTTATGCATGCACAAAATCAGTTTTATTGAGTTTTTATTTAACTTAAGATGTAATTTTTAGAGATTTTTTTTTGACTTTTAAAGGCCTGGAACCCCTTTTAACAACTTAGCACACCTTAATATAAAAAAAAAAGTAAAATTTAACTTACTCTTTACTTCAAGACATCTTTCTGCTGTGGGAGTAAAAGCAAGAGAAGTGTTAGTAGAATACTTTTGAACAGTATGAAGTAGATTTATGCAGGGAAAAACAAGAACAAAACCAGACCCTCGTGACCAACTCTGCTTGTGCTTCCACCCGTGTTTAAGTCGGTATGAATCACTAAAATATTTATAGCAAACAGCTACTAGTAGTCAGCAATCCTCTCTAAATAATTCTTAATAAGAAAATTTATAACTATGTAAACTTAAAGTAGTGCAAGAATAAATTTAGAGCTATGTAAACTTAAGTAGTGTAAGAAGATCGTGCAGATCGCAGGATTACACTTACCAACAGGGCAATTTTCAAACTGAAATCGCATCTATTCCAATAATTACACAAGAAGGGTCTAGCATATCGAAAAATAATAAATAAAAAGGGATCTAATCGCTGATTTTTATGGCTGCAGTGCCACAAAAATGGATGGGCGGCGCTGGGTGTAGCGTTACCGGCACGGCCCTCACGGAGCCGCGGGCAGGGCCGTCTGACCGCCACCCTCTGCAGCGATGCCCCTCACACACCGCCGCTGCCCGGCCGAGCCCCTCACGACTTACCGGGGAGGGTTCCTGGCCCTGGCGGGGTCCCGGTGCCGGTGCCGCCTCCATGGCGGCCTGAGGGACAAGGGCCGTGAGGCGCCACGCGCCCTCCCCCCGCCCCTCCAATGGTGCGGCCCGGCCCGCGCAGCCCAGGCAGGCCCGGCGGCCGCTACCACTGCCGAGCTGGGGGAGTGGGCGCTGCAGCTCGCTCAGCGGTACGGGCGCTGCTTTGCTAGCCAGGCCTGCACCGCCACGCTGCCCGGCCTGCAGGCCATGAGGCCGGCCCTGAGCCCAGCGCTGCCCGCTCTCATACCACTTCCTCCAAGGGCACGGCGCGACAGGGCGCGAATGCTCAGCGCGGCCGCTTATAAAGCCTTGGGCCGTACCACCCCGCGGCGGGGCCGGGCTGTGCCACTGCTCCACAGGCGGGGGTGCGCCGCGGCCGGGCTGTGCCACTGCTCCACAGGCGGGGGTGCGCCGCGGCGCCCATTTCCTCCCGTGTGGGACGTGAGGGAACGGGGCGGGGCGGGCATCGCTCAAACCCCAAAAATCCCCCAAAAATCCCAAAAAAACCCCCAGATTTAGGCACCACCTCAGGGCAGGGACGGGTGACAGCCTCGGGCAGGGACCCTCGTGTCGGTCCCAGCCGGGCACAACCCCAGCAAGCACCGGCCCTGCCCTGGGTTCTGCCTTTTCCAGGAACACTGGAGAGGTCGAGGATTTCAGGCCACTTTTATTTAGAACAAAACAGCTGTTTTTAAATAAAAGTTCCGCTCTTTTCACATTATGTCGTGTTGAACTGAAAATAGGGGTGTTTTGGTTTGCTCTTCCCTCTGTTAAATGCATCAGCCATCGTTTTAAAAAGAAACACAAAGTCACCTTTGCTTTAAAATTTCACCCTCAACACGAAGTGTTCAGCCAGCCTGAAGAATTATTTATCAAAAATCCACATTTTCCAAACAGCAAAAACTCCCTAGAAGAAGGATTAGTGTGGTGCTGTAACAAATCACCTAAAATTCATATCCCCCAACAAGAGCCAAAGCCAACATTCTCATTTTTTGCAATTTTCAACATAAAACACATTTTAGTGAAATACATAGGTCCTGTCTATCAAACATCAATTTCTGCATCAAATTCTTGTAGGTGATGATAGCTGGGAGGTGAGTGAAAAATCACATTAGCTAAGGATTGAACAGCTAAACACAAAGAGAACGGAACTTGGAATAAAACTCTCTTTGCAATCTCTCAATCAAGTAATTTTCAGATGGAAATTAAAATGTTGAGGGAAAAGCATTGACTTAAAATTTTTAATTACCAAATCCCAGCACTTATGGTTCAGGTAACTAAGGAAGCCCAAAGCTGGAAAGAATTCCTGATACCAGCACTCTCCAAGGTTTCTCTGTACATTGTAAAAAAGCAAAACCTAGGAATACTCAATTACAAAACCCTCTCTACAAGTCCTTTAAACAATAAACCTCAATTTTGGTGGCACCTAAGCTCCTGTGGGCTCAGTATCACACAAACCTCCCTACCAAAACCATAAAACCACAGTCCTGGCCAGTGTGGGGGAACTTTTAAAGCATATTTCTGACAACCTGGAAGGCAGAAGCAGATTTAAGGGTCACAGACCTGTGTTTGATTTCACACATCTTTTAGATCAGCTAGAGATCCTCTATTCCCATCAGTTTATCCTTTGCCAGGTTTAAATTAGGACTACTGACACGGAAATACCATGCAAGGGTTCCCAATATTCCAGCTTTGGTGGATGAGGTGGTTGATTCCTTTCAGGAAATAAAAAAAGTCCCAATGGCTTCAAAGCAGTGACACAACACAAAGGTTTACTGGCAAAAAGATACTAGTGAAATAAATTTTATCAGTACCTGGAGAGATGGGAGTGATTCTCTGGGAAAGCCTGGGGAGAGGATATCAGTGAAAGCACACGTTTAAAATGAGTTATTACAGTGATCAGACATTGCAGGCGTTTCTCTCAACAGTACTTTTATGAGACATTTATATATTCAATAATTAAATATAAAATCAAGGATGAGTGTCACAAAACAAGGAAAGAGTAAGGCTTGAAGCCTGGTCAGCCCCCAGACTGCCCCTTCAGTCACTGTGCCTGTCATTTGACCTTTCATTTGACATGCTGCTATCATCACACATAAAGCATAAGAAAAGTTAATTTTGCAGATTCTTTGCTGAAATCTCAAACCTACTTCAACTTAGTACAAAAACAGCGGGGGCAAAAAAAAAAAAAAAAAAAAAAAAAGGGGAAAACATTGCTTGTTAAAAAGCAGAAATGGGAAGAGTAGTTCACAGATATTTCGGACTGACCAAAAACCAAGGAACAGGGACAATGCAAACAGATTTCAGATTATTACAATGGTTTTGCTACTTGTTGTTTACCTGAATGTGATGTGCTTGCATTATTCCTCACTCAGAATTACTGGCAACGTGAAAAAAAATAGCAGCTGCACAATGATCAAACACCCTTGTCTTACCCAGGGAGGGATGAAAATGTGCAGGTAAAAAAGCTGAGTGGAACAAGTCACCCATGCCCACATCCACGTGTACTATACAGGAAAAACATCCAAAATATTGACAGGAGACAGTGACCCTAAAGTTTTCCTTTTCTCTTTCACTTCTACATGGATAGAACAGCACAGAGGAGAACACCACTAGAGCTTTCACTGTGGCCAATGGGAAGATTCTCACAAATATAAAAACGCTTTCCAGCTGTTGGATTTCTTCAGGACATAATCCAGGTGGAATTATAGGAACATAATCTCTCCTCGTGGAACAACAGCAAAAAAACAACGCCCAAACCCTCAGGGGTTTACACAATTGTCAAACATTCAACTTTGCAGTCCTGAACATCTTAATCCCTGCTACAGCAGAACGTGGCATCACCAAAATAAATGAGCAGGGTTCCTTGGATTCTGGTGGTGCCACTGGGATACCTACATGGAATTTAACTGTAATAAAACGTGTAACTTGGATTTACATTCAGTGTGTTGGAAGAAGGGAATGTGAAAACCAATCCCTTCATGCTTTATCCTTGCTGGCTGCCCACCCAGGAAGATTTATTGTTATTACTTCAAGAGGAAAGGAAAGGTGCTGGTAAGAGCCAGAAGGGCAAGGCAATGATCTGGATCATGAAATAAACGCCCTGTTCTTTGGATGAAGTACGTAAAACATTTTGTTAAAAGCCTCCATGATGAAAACATTGAGAACAGAAAAGGTCTCCTTAAAAATACAGAGCATTTCTGCCTCATCTTTTAAGTTCAAAGCTGGGGGGAGAAAATGTTTTGCTACAATTCACTACAGGTTTGCTGTCATAAACAGAGATGACAATGCCCTACAGAGCACAGGGCCAGCCACAGACTCCAGACAATTGTCTTTGCTTTAAGTTTCAAGTGGTTTATGCCTCTCTTGTTGTAGAAAAGGAACAGAGACACTTCTGGAACCTTCACTGCAGAGTCTTTGCCAGTGTCCAGCTTTTGGGCAAAGGGGATCCTGCCAGGCTGCAGTCAGCACCTGGAGGGTCAGGCTGTGAACCCAGTCATGATTCAGAGTCTGAGCCAGAGCTGCTTTCCCGGCTGATCTCGATTTGTAGGGAGGGTAAATGATCCAAGCGACTCTTTTTTTGCCTGGACTGTTCTTTTTCCTTAATGAGAGCACCCCAAACCCTCTGCAGCTCAGAGTCATCTTCCTCTGGAGACGCCACAGAGTTTTCAGCCTTCTCTGGAGTCTTTTCCTGTGTCTTTGGAGCAGACCCCAATCTGGTCCATAAATTACCTAAGCAAATGAAAAATAAACATTTTTTAAAAAGCCAAACCAGACAAGACTGAGAGGAAAAAGTCAAGGAACCAATTCTTAAACTCACTGCAACTCTTCAAACCCTTCCTATTCCTCCCACTTTAATATTTGGCATGGAACTGATTATGCTTTGAAGAGTAATGAAATTAAGCTGCAGGAGGCTCAGGGCAGCCTTGTTCATTGTTCCCCATTTGCAGAGGATGTTTAATGCACACCTGAAGTGCCCCTGCATTCCTGACATTTGTTTCGGTGCCCACAGTTTGAAAGCAGTCCTTGATTTTCAGCCCACCTCCATAAAAATACTGCTCCCAAAACCCCCCAGCTCCTCCCTACACGTTCTTAGATTTCAAAGCTCTGAACAAACATTTGCTAATTTATCCTGAATTTCATTCAACTTCACCCCTTCATGGCTTTCTGCTGGAATTTCTCTTGGACTCCAAAACCAAAAGGAAGTGCAGCAGAACATTTTCTGCACACAACTAACCTGATTTCTTCTCTCTGGTGTCAGAGTAGAGGCCTTTCACATCTTGTTTAGGGACTCCTAGCCTGCTGTGCACATCTGAGATTGGTTCTCGACGAGGGGCACTGGTACTGCTTGGAGCTTTGATTTCTGGAGAGTGTGGCCTTTTTCCCAGTCTCTGCCTTACATCTGGGGATATTTTCAGTGATTAAAATGGCAAAAAAAAAAATCCTGTGGCATTTACTCTGCCAGCTCAGTTTATGCTTATTCACTATTGAAACTAGACAGATTCTCTGTTTTTTATTTTTTCTTTAGCCTGTTCATTTAAGTCTTTCGCACTCAGATTTCCTGGAAATTTCTGCAGTACAATTTAGCCAGATTTCATTTCAGTTTTGGCAATAAATTTTACATTTCATCTTTTCAAGTTGTGCTCTGTCCAAAAGATAAAAACCTAAGTTGTCCCATGGCCTGATGCTTTTCTGGTGTAGCAGCAGAGTGTGTAAATATCCATCAGGAGGTAAAATTCCATGAAAACTGGTCTGCTTTCAACAATTCTTTTCAAGTAACAGATACCTTGATTTAGAATTCTACCACTGCTTGGTATTTGGCAGAATAAAAGAAAAAGAATACTAAAAATATTGATACTTAACCCTTGATGTGAATTTTGTATTCTGTGCCTGGCTTAGCTGGATGCTTCCAATCTTACAGGAGGTCCAGACAAAAATATTAAGGCAAAGGGAATTTTAGGATCATGTGTCAACTTGTCAGAGGCCCAAAATGGGCAGGAGGAATAAAATATACAAACATAATTTTGACATTTCATTGATACAATAAGGTATTTTTCACTTATCAGTCAGATAATATTACGTATGTCAGAAGCAGCTGAAATTATACATGTTTAAGTCAAATAGGTAAGTTATGTATGCTCAGAAATAAATCCTGCCAAATGCAAAAACACCCATCTTCATGTAATATATATTTTAATATATTAAATACATAATACATATTATTTATGTGTATTTTTAAGTATAGTCAGTGT